ACTTGCGTGCGCTATAAGAAGAGGCGAAAAATCGGACTATTGTGGCAAAAACATATCCTACAGAAAATTCGAATCACGCAGTGAAACCGCCCAGTCCAGGTATATATACTTATAATCTGAGTAATCATAGTTTATTGGATAGAAAACGGCTCCTGGATTCTGAATTAAGATGCGAGAATCATGTTACCTGTCGAATGAGGAATCCTATGATACCCAGCCTGAAAACAAATATCGCTTTGTTGCATGGGACATTTTCATCAACTAAATCGCGCACTAATCATGTAAGCGGTAATTTTAATTTATGATTTAGGAACCTTTTATTTCATCCAACCTACAATCCTAATACTATTAGTTTTACATCTTTAGACCAGTGATTTGAAAAATAAATCCATTATAACACTCAGTCACTCTTATAGTTTATTCATTTTCGTAGCCTCCTACCTCCTGTCCAGATGACTCGGATATGAATTATTCGAACGATTTTTTGACACGGCATGATCAAGTCTCGGAACCTTTTTGGTTTCATTCACCAGCTTGCCGGCCTTATATTGCCTCATCGCAAGTTCATGTAACAGATGGTAATTCCTACCAAACTTTTCCTGAATTTAAACTATATTTTATACTTTTTAAAGACAATCTGAATACTTCCATTTTATATTCTTATTTTAGCCCTTGTCGCTTCGGAGCCTCAACATTCTTCCATCAGGCAACCTCCAAGTCTTTCATTTTTTAACTTGCATGAGACTTCTGTACATCCCTCTATTTCTTCTAACGGAAATACCTCAGATGATCCTAATCTTAATTCGAACTATGATACGATTGGCTGCAATTCCTACGACACTCTCCGCTTAACGCCTCAAGGCCTTCCATCTGTTAATGACGACGCGTATGCCCTTCCAACGGATAATTCTAGTCACTCAGACTATTCCTATTCGGTCTCACCTGTGCTCCGATTCCCTACTCCTGATCTTCCTCCATTTGAGGAATCTTTTCTAACCTGTACCAAGCGACCATTACCATGGCAGTTCATCGACCCAAACATTCCAAGTAAAGCATCGGGGCTGGCAGCTTCAAGATCGATGGTTGGAAAGGAAGAATCGGGAGAGGCGGAAGAAAGTCATAAGACCGTTTTCTCCAGAACAGAACAGCTAGTCGATTCTGCGTCTGACACGGCATCGTTAATTCGGGTATACTTGACTGGCACCAGGGATGCCGTTGAGCGAGTTAAAGCGGGGTTAACGTCAACCTGTCCACTAGACAGGTATTACAGCCTTATCGTAAGTTATATATTATTCATCCTTTATTACTTAGACGTACAGATTTTATTCCCTTTTTAAAAATGCATCATGGCTGTACTTAATTATATTAAAGGG